TAGGGTTAGCAGTGCTCCGAAAAATACAGCCGTTGTCCGGTTGTCCGAGACAAACCAAAGAAATTTGCGCCGGACAACCTAAACCAGTCTGAGACAGTTGTCCGGTTGGAACACCAAGCGAAAATGTGAGACGAAAAACGGCACTTTATTTATTTTTTCTGTTCAGGTGTTCTCCAAGAGCAGCTTATAGCCTGGCGGCCGCGGCCATTATTCTAATGGTAGTGTGAAAGCGACGGCATACGGTCAGCTGCTATTCCCAACACTGGTATCATGTCAGGTTTTCTGATTTATGAGAGGTGAACTCGGATTTGGAACGAGCAAACGCAGCAAGTCACACCCTGGACATTTGGTATTTTATTCCATTAGTTATTTTGATTTTCGCGATGGGTTTGCGCATGCAAAAGCAAACAACAAGTGGGGATTTATGTTGGATGCCAAAAGTTTTTAAAAAAGAAGAATTGTGTCAGTCAGATGACTTGAACGTTGTTGTAACATGTAACTTCCAAAAGTGCCGCAATACATCTCCTCGCGATCTACATTTCAAAATTTTTCTGGGGGAGGACCCCAGTACCCCGCCTGCTTGTTTTTTACGCCCTCCTTGGAATCTTAGATCCGCCACTGAACAATTAGCATATCTTGGAAGGCAGAGAAAATGAACAAAAATGTCGCGCTCTTTTCCGGCATGGCACCAGACCAAAGATTGACAGAGAAGGTAGAGGAGCCGTAGGGTGGTGGAGAGGGAGGCGAGTGAAGCCAGTTAAAATGTTGTCATACCACTATTTTGCGGCGCAGTTTGCTGTTTTTGGGCCCTCCCTTGTTAAAAAATCCTGGGCTAACGCAGTGTTTTTTGGGTGTTTTCCTGATGCCATCATTATTATGTGGCTTGAAAATAGGATATTTTGGGATATTTTTATTGGGACACACCAGAAATTGCTTGGCGGACAACCCGATTTGATGGCCTGGGTTTTTTTTTTTTTTTTTTTTTTTGTTGCCAACGCGGACACCACAGCATTTTTTTTCTTATTTTCGAGCAGCTGTTAGGGTTAGGGTTAGGGTTTTTGCATCATTCCTTGATATACGGAAATTCTGTGCATCAGTTGATGATACACAGAAATCTGTGCATCAGTTGATGATACACAGAAATCTGTGCATCACTTCGTGATACCTAAGGTGCCTAAAGTGGATTTGCACCGATAAAAATAGAATTCGTGACGTTTCGTTTTTATTTTGCATACTCCGCCGCATACGCTATATTATTATTAATATTATTATACTATAGTGTTACTATTAGTATTAGTATTAGTAATATACTACTTACTAGTATTACGCTGACCGGTAGTTAAGTGTACTAACTATCTATCATATGGCGCGAACGATTTGAGTACCGGTAACATTTCTATAAATTCTAGCCATTATAGATACATGTCTTAGCTATAATCTGTGAATTTTGAGTTTATTGAAGTACGATTAGTCTAATTAATTAGCAAATGGACGTGCATATTCGTCCGAGCATCGGACACCTGTTCGTATGCGCTATTCGTCCGAGCAGTTGTTGTGCATGCGTTGTTCATGTTGTATTAAATAAATGTAATGTAATGCTAGTCTAGGGAGGTGCCTACTCCCTAACCACGCCTACTCTCTAACCCTAACCCTAACCCCAGCCCTAACCCTAACACTAACTATAAACCGACTCGGTTCTCTTATTATACGCTCGGTTTCGTATATATACGCGAGTGATAGTACCAAACACTATCTATGGTGTATAACCACATACGCAACGCATGTATGCAGGGGCGTCACAGCCGTAGGGCTGCCGTAGCAAAACGCTAGGGGCCCCCAGCGTAAAGGGCATAAAATAATCAAAAATCTAAAGGGTAAATAGCATTTTAGAGCATCTAGATTTAAAAATTGTTTGGGGGAGACCACCCAGACCCCCCTTCACACTTTCTACCTACGGCACTCGTGCCGTGCGCCTGCGGCATGCAACATGAACTGCTCGGACGAATAGCGCATACGAACAGGTGTCTGATGCTCGGACGAATATCCACGTCGTTAGCAAATATGCACGTGTGGCTATTTGAACGTGAAGCTCATAGGCTAATACACGTACGGCTATGGCCGGTGAAACGAGACGTCACGAATTCTATTTTTATCCTCCAATCACAGGTCGGAGCAATTCCTCTGTTTAGACGCATGTCTACAAAATAGGGTAGGTATGTGCCACTTGCGAGATGGAATTGGGGGAAATATGTGAGAAGGGGGTCTCTGGAACGGAAAATATATGTGAAAAGGGGGGTCTCCAGAACGGAAATTTTGAGGTGAAAAGGGGGGGTCTCCCGCGGCACATACCTACCATACAATCAAGAGCTAATAATACCTAGAGTGTACAACGGAAAAACGGGAAAATAGTGCTATTTCACGACTACATTATTCTACTTTGCCTGCGAGTCTAGAATAATTTCATGGTATTGCATTAAGCAGAATTCCTTGCTCTCTACAACAAGACCAATCCAATCGCTTGTCAATACGATACTCCTAGGCTGAGATATCGGCTCCTAAACCTCCCCTCCCACATGCCTTACGCCGCTTTGAATCCACATCATTCAGCAACCTACACGCGTCTAAGCATTGCTTCGTGAAAGTTCGATTTTTCCGCGATAAATTTATGAATGAACGGTGCTTCGCTTATGCCCTTATCTTCCATTATCTTTCCTAGCACGGCTAATGCCCGTCATGATGGAGCCGGCTCCATCA